AGAGAGAGAGAGAGAGAGAGAGAGAGAGAGAGAGAGAGAGAGAGAGAGAGAGAGAGAGAGAGAGAGAGAGAGAGAGCTAATTGTGTTGTTATTGTGGGCCTTGCAGGAGGGGATGGATGAAATACGCTGGTACAAGTTTGGTTATGGGGGAGGTGCCAATGGGAAAGATGTGTTGAAAGGCTTTGAGAAAGGCGGGTAAGTATCCGTCTTTGCTCTCACTGGCCAACTCTCACTTTGCAACTCTCACTTTGTTCTTCCTGGATGAGTCAACCAAGTTTCTCTTGTTTTCTTCCCTTTTTTTTTTCGTTTACTCTATCTCAGCAGAGATGTGGACAAGGTCGTTATGGTTGTTGGGTATTAGAAAAAAAATGTGCGTTAGTTGAATGAGAAGCTGTCTCTCTTCTCTCTCTCTCTCTCTTGTCAACTCTCCCTTTTTTGTTGTTTGCTGTTTTCATTTTCAAGATATTTTTTTCTATACTCTTACTAAAGTGTAAGCCGGGTCTCGTGTGATGCCCCCCCGAGGCCCGACTTACAGTGTTGGGAAAGTCCTCGGGACAGGGGGTGAGGGTCCAGCAGAAAAGGTCATCTGCTCGGCTAGCTTCAGCGCATGTTCAAATAGGACATAGCAGGCAGGCGCAGTGCTGGAAGTGATCTCTCGAAGCCTCTTCTCTCTACTCTGTATCTGTCCATATTCTAGCAGAAGATTTGCTCTCCCTTTACACAACGGAAGTAGTTTCCTGTTTTTTGTCCTTTTGTCTTCTGTGCATTGGAGAGTCGAGGCCCTGGAGCGTTTTCTGCTCACGGTGAACGTGCAGGGCCTCGATCCACTACTCTCCACATGCAGTGTATCTTTCCATTATTCTGGAGGAGGATTCATTCTGGTATTAGACATAGAGGGCCTCTCTCCATGACTCTCCACATGCACAAATGTCAAAGAAAAAAATGACGGTTTATCATTCCGTGTTCTAGAAGAGGATTCATTTCATTGTCTTTTGTGCATGTGGAGAGTTGGGCTCTGCCACTGCCCAACCTCAAGAACATGGGTGGACCGGAAGAACCAATCCTCCTGTACAACATGGAAAGATGCACCGCCTTTTTTTTTTTTTCCCCTCCTGACGTCCTTGAGATGTCATCATAGAACTGACCGGCCCCAATTCCCAATTGCAGTATTTCGCTCATCTGCTTCCAGTGGAGTTCGGACTCGTGTCTATATTTCAACAGTTGCGGTTGTACCGAGGCTTAAATGTACCCAACCGCATTTACAGCCGGTCTTATATGCATCTGGGATTGTATTTTGCTCATCTGCTTCGAGTGGAGTACGAACTCAGGTCTGTGTTTCAACGGTTCAGGGGTGTACCAACTGAGGGCGTATTCACACCACCGCTATGTTAAATGTACCCGACCGCATATGCGGCTGGCCTTATATGCATCTGGCTGCAATTCCGTCCGTGCTGTGTGAGCATGCCCTGAGCTAGGTCAGTTGGTAGCTGGTGTGTTCACATTGGGCTTAGCGTTTTTTTTTTTTTTTTTTTTTTTTGGTGAAAAACTTGAAAGGCTTAGCATTCTGGGTCCACCATACCGCCCGCTCCCCTGACATGGCCCTCCTTCACGTTTCACCTCATCCCCACCTCTGGGCCGCGGCTTCGCTGCAGCCGGTCCGACTTGTTTATCTAAAAAATGTTTTTGGTTTGTTGCTGTTATGTCAGGAAGGATATCGAGCAGTTTGCTAAGGTTGGGGCTAAGTGTCATGCCGGGAACCCCAGCCCGTGTGGCTGAATAGCAAAGGGTACTTGAACCGCATGTGACAGTTTATAAACAGATTGTGAGTTCGAGTCCTGATGGAATCGTATGAAAATTGCCCCGTTCATTATATACGCTATAGTATTGTGAGCTTTATTACTGGGGCCTTAGGTTACAGGATAAATTGACTAGGCTTAAGGTTACGTGTAGCTCTGGATTGGGTCGCAAACTAGACCACAGGTCACCTTATGGATTGGGCCGCAAACTAGGCCAGCCACCTGTACCCCAATCTATTTATTGTCTTCTTATTGTTCTCTACTACATTCATAATGCGAAGATCAAATGGTGAGAAAATGCATTGCTGAAATTTAAAAGAAGTGGAGAGAGAGAAAGACCGGATAAAAATGAAGAGGATAGAAGAAGAAGAAGAAGAAAAAGAAGTACAGATGCAGATTCGGGAGGGATGTGCCTAGCGCGGACGTTGCAACCGGTTTGCGTCATAGTGACGCCAAACACACCAGTGGCAAGCGGGGTCAACGTGACTAGGCGGCGGCCGCGCTTGGGACAGGAGGCGCCAGCCATAGCCGGGAGGAGGAGGATGAGCCACGGGGCAAGCGAGTGCCGGGGAAGGGCTGGCTGCAAGACAGCGGGCCTGGTGGTGTGTGCTGGGTTGTGTGGGAGCTCGCGGCAGGTGCACTGCCATGATGTGAGCTGGTTCCCACAGGGACCGGAGGTTGCGTTTAGAGCATGGAGAGGGAGTGGGTAATCTGGCCATAGCAAGGGTGGTGTTCAGGGTCATCAACGAAAGAAGCTGGTGGCAGAGACCGGGAAAACGATCTGAGAGGAGGAGAGCAACGGTGCCTGCAGATATGGGGAGAGAGTGGGGAGTCGGGCCACAGCTGTAGAAGCGATTAGGTGCCTTCCAGGCTGGTGGTCGGCACCAGAGCGACAACCCGAGCGGAGGTAGGTAACAGAGGCTGTGGTCGAGGTGTGGTGGGCCTGGCTCATGGCGCCCCAGGTTCTTACCCGGGTGAGACGAGCAAGCCTCGCAACGGCCATAACACTTGAGTTTTTCAAGATGTCACAGGTAAGTGGTCTTCAACCTGGATCAAGTTGCGAAAGGGAACGTAGTTACAATTGCGTGGGTTTGCCGGGCGAAACGGGCATGGTGGGCTTGGACAGCGGGATTATAGGAGGGATCAAAGCAAGGATCGATTAAATAACCACGCGTGGGGTGGGAAGGTCTTATTGCATGTGGACTGGCTTGTTGGTGGGGTTTGGGCTGAATTGGGCCGAGTTGGAGTGTTTGCGTATGTGTGATCTACATGGAATGTGAATTGGATTGATCTTGCCTCGTTAATCCTTTGCATTTCCATTGCCGAACAAGAAATGAGTTGAATTGGATTAGTCTTAGTTTCTGGTACTCCTTCAAACAAGGTTGTCACGTGCTTGGAAACAGTGGATTATAGGAGGGATCAAGGCGAGGATTGCAGTGCGGGGTGCGGAGTTAGGTTGTGAACGTGGGGTAAAGTCTTATTGCATGTGGACCAACGGGTGTAACGATTGAACACGTGGTTTGTTAGTAGGGGTGCGCTGAATCGGGCGAGTTGGGGCTTTTGCGTAATGTGTGATCTGCATGGAATTTGAATTGGATCCGCTTTGTTAATCTTTCATTTTTCCATTGCTGAGGAAGAACTGAATTGAATCGGATTGGTCTTGTTTCGGTACTCCTTTATCAAGCAAGGTTGCCACGTACTTGTACCGTTTTCGTTTGAGAGGGGCTTCAAGATAGCCACGTGTGGGTTAATGAAGCTGGATCGCCTGAGTAGGGATTGAACACGTAGCATGTATGTGAAGGGGGCTGATTTGGACTGATTCGGGGTGTCTGCATATGTGAGGTTTGAATTGAATTGATTGGGATTACTCTTGTACTGTTAATCTGCCGTTAATCCGTTGCTGAGCAAGAACTACAGTCACCAGATTGATCCCTTGGGTGTTGCATGGACGGCAGGCAGGAGGCGCTCAATAGCTCTCGTACAAATAGTCAGCCTATCAGCGAGGGAGTGCTGATCCTGCTTGTCTGGCCTAGATAAGAAATATGTCTTTTTTTATTTTTTTATTTTTTTTTAAGTCCAGGGTGTTGTAGAGGTCGGTTTCTGGACCCACGACAGGTACCTATCTACAGTCAGCAACTAATTTATGGGATGCAGACCATCCTATATTGGAGGATCCCCCTCAGACAGCCCCTACTGCAGGTTCCCCAACGATTTCCCCCACCAGAATCTGTCTACTAACACTCCTCCTACCGGGATCCCTTAAGACAATCCCCTATTGTAGGTTCCCCACCGATATCCTCCAGCAGACCTTGTCCCAAGCCAACCCTCCCCCAAAACGGGACCCCATCACACCTAAGGTCCTTGCCCCCTCAAAGCGGAGCCTAAGGTAACCAACAGACATGAGTGGGCTAACCACAAACCCCTATCTGCATCCCCATTAGACCGCTAACTGTATCAGGCAAACCCCTCATAGGCCAGGACGCCACATACAACACCATGGACAACCCTTGGGTGGTGCGCAGGCAGTGTCTGTCATAGCTTACCATGCGTCAGCCCAAGGGGTGTGTGTCCAGCTGTGCGTCATTCTAACGCCCTGCTGGTGTCCATGCGTGAGGCTGCGGATTTGAACCCACAACCTCATACCACAATGCGCATTTCCAACCGGTGCTCTAACCACTGAGCTACATCAATATGTCTTGCTCATGGTGGTCCATACTCATGTTTGCTGATCCTGCTTGTCTGGCCTAGATAAGGAGTCTGTCTTGCTCACGGTGGTACGTACTCGCTCACGGGCATTTAAATAACATGAAACAGCTAAGAGTATAACTCGGGAAGGTATCTTGTGGTGTAACCGTCTGTTTCGCTCTAGTTACAACACTGAAGCCTGTCGGCGGAGGAGTCCGCACCAGGAGCAGGGTCCGAGAGGGGCATAGAATGGAGATGAGACCAAGGCCGGCCGGAGGCACAGGCGATGGCGTCGTCCCAGTCGTCCCACTCAACCGGGTCGCGATTGCAGCAAGACCATCTGTGGGGGAGTCAATCTCGGTTAGGCGCTCAAGGGAGGAGGAAGCAGGGGCGGAATGGGAAAACCCACTGGCCAACATGACCACGGCAGGCTCCTTCTTCCTGTCCCGCCTTCTTTCCCCTTCAGAGAAGAGAGTCCTCCGCCAGGGGGGCAAGTCAACCATGATCAAAGCACTACCGGCTGCAGTGGTTAAGGAGAGAGACAACCTGTATACACGCCCTGCAAGCAACTGGGTCTTCCAAGAGGACGCTGCATTCAAGTCAAGAAATGCTGAGGTAGCATGGATTAGGAATCACTTGGCCGCCTCTAAAGGAGCGATGGATGGGGCACGTGACTTTTTTAGTCCAGCCATATCCGCCTCGGTTATAACAGTG